CTCGCTACCCTGTTTTCTGCCTTGAAAAAAAGAGTAATATTTTGTGAAGCATTTGTCCCATTGGAAAAGACTGCTGGCCTATCTTATGTGTGAATACCAGATCTACTAACTTGACCCTTTGGAGTTCTCAAGAGTTACCTATGATGGTTTTAAGATAGATTAATATAAATTTCTGTATCTTAGGTTTGTTTTTATTTTGATTTTAGTTTCTCAAATTTTAAACCATGAGTTTTGGTCTCTTGAGTTTCTTTTTATTTAAAACATTAGTCTCTATAATTTAATAAAAACTTAGACTATTTTGCCTATCAGGGAACCAAAACATATGGTTTAAAACTTAAAAAACCAAAATCAAAATGAGAACAAACATAAACGACCAAATGTTATATTAACCTTTTTTAAGATTATTTCTCCAATTTCTTTTCCATTACAATTTTATTATATATTCATGAGTGAGTGAGAGCCAAGAAGCGTGTGTGTAATGTAGTCCTCATCCAAAAATTTTAGGCAAATCCAAAGAACGTTTTCCTGTATGTTCATCACAAAAGATTTTTAGATCCCAATGTACCCAATACCATATAGCTGCCAAAAAGCACTAGCCGAAAAACACAATATGTGCCGTGGCCATACCTTCATAACTCCAAATACCAAGATTCATTATAGTCCCTCCTGTGATACTCTAACCACCCATGAATTGGTTATTTCTAAACAAGTCATGAAGGGTATAAAATACATACCTTGTCTTCACACGGGGTCAAGAATAGGGTTAGAGGGATAAAAAAATGGCTAATTCATATAGAGCCATTGAACCGGCCCAACCAACAACCAAAGCTGTGCGCATTATATGGACACAAAATAAACAGCCAAGATCATTTAATATGACGATATGAACACAATACCAAGGCAAACCCATGAAAATTCCTTTTATATCAACAAAAAATGGACACCATGAAACTTTATTACACTGTAAAAAAAACTATACTATGGACTGTCTCTTTTTATTAGATTCTCTCAGGTAAAAGATTAATACTTGTTCTAGTATTTTTAGTAATAACAGAAGAATTCTATTCGTAGGAACAAAAAAAGCAAATCTATTTTATACTCGATGAGTAACAATACGCAATGGTTGGGGGTGTTGATCATATTTTATGTAAGTGTCTATATCTTTATATCATTAATATAGACATATTTGTTCATCACTTAAAGAACTAGAAAAACCTATTCGTAAGAATTTTCCTTTAGTCACTCGGTCTTCCTTTTGTGTTTATGATTTTCTTTTTAATGAATTTATTCAATTGAACAACGAATCGTTAGTCGCTTTAGGTCCACTTTAAAAATTAACCAAATTAATGCAATACAATACACGATCCGGGTCGTATTTACTTTAGGGAACCTCCAAAAAGAAATCCTAAGTAACTAAGTACAAGCAACCTAAACTATAAAAAGGATATTGATTTTACGAATTGCTAACTAAATGTCATGAATTAAATTGAAATTAAAATACTTGTTTTTGATGTTTTTGTATGAAAATGATTCAAATGAATGATGATGAAAGAAATGAAAATGAAACACACAAGTAAATAATGATAGTAATCAATCCTCCAACTCAACAATGCAAGCAATCCTCACTTCAACAGATACGGGAGTTAAAACAATGAATTAAGAATTATAATTAAACTTTTAATCCAACAACGAGCCATCTTGAATTGCCACAAAATATTTTTCAAAATCCCAACTTCCTAACTGCAACCAGAATAGCAAAATAGAATTAAGGATGCTAAAAACCAATGCTTAATTGTAACTCTTAAATACAAAAACCACATAATTAAAGCTAGCAAGAGACAATATGATCTAAGATTCCAAGCTACCTCAGAAAACCACAATATATTAACTCTAAAGTCAATGCAAATGTCATAACCACAACATAATTGAAATTAAAGCTATAAACAGTCGAATGTCAAATGCTAAACAATAATTCAGCCACAATAATCCCCAAATATAATTAGAGTAAACAATACAAATTTTTCAATGATCAGAAAAACTATCCTAAGACCTAGGAATTGTTAAACAACTATTGGACAGAAAATTGAAGTAACTAAAACTCCCCTATAAAGATCCAAGCTCCTGACATTGCTGTTGAATTAGAGAATTACAGAGTCTTAGCCACAATTTGCCATGAAGAATTCCACAATCAACATTCTGCTACGGGCTACCATGGAAGAACACTGAGAAGGTGATAGAACAGTGAGGAATCTAAAAGGAGAAGGAGCTTACAGTAAGTTGAATAGAGAAGATGGCAGTGGCTTTCGATGGAGATGGAAAAGAAGAAGATAATGGTGTTGAGCTGTAGTGAGTGCTTGCCCCTATCGAACGTCCTCTGGTCTCACTAGTTCTATCAAGCTCCTCTGATTCCAGACCGAGGAGAAGAAGAAGATGAAGGCAATAGTGATGACGGAAGATTCTATCACGCTGTCGCAATCCTCTGGACCTTCATTCTTCACACTGTCAACCTCTGCTCAACTCATCTTTGTCGCTATCTCTCTGCCACCAAGAAGATTCAACAGAGACGCAAATTGTTGGAGAACAGATCGAGTTGCATTGGTCTATCTCTCACGTTGCTGGTCTCTCGTCTTTTGTTTTGCTCGCTGTCAAGCTCTGGTCCTCTTCCTCTCTCGATCTGCTCCTTTTAGTCTTGCCTCTCTCTCTCTCTCTCTCTCTCTCTCATATTGCCGTTCTTCCTCCTGCTTGAAAGGAGATGATGATAGTTTAATGTTTTAGTCCCTCCTACCCCAAAGGAGATGATGATAGTTTAATGTTTTAGGTCAGGGAGAAAAACGCAATGTTTTGCTCCTCCTTTTTTATTATTATTATTTTTTAAAATTTATTTTTTATTATATTTTTTTTCTCCTTTTTATTTTTAAATCTCCCAAAAACCTGCACCCAAAATTCAAGAACAAGGTAGTATTAATTGTTCTTAAAGATCAATCAATCACAATTATAACAAATTTGCCCCTATTATGCACTAATTCAAGTTAAAGCACTCTAATATGAATTATACTCAAATAATCCAATTAAGGACCAATAATAATGACAAAAACCCACTAAAAAAGATATGAAAATGCATGTAAAACATAGGTTTGTCAATTGCCTTATACTTAACCTTTTGTACTCCTGGGCAAAACATCAATAAAGAAGAATCCAATAGAGATACTCAATACAAGCAAACATAAAATCGATTAGGCATGAATGTACAATTAACTCAAGCAATCTTTACTCCTAATCAATCAACAATCATATAATACTTCAGTGTAAAGAAACTAACACAAGAAACATAACAAGATAAAGGAAGAGAAATATAATAGAGCTCACATAGGGTGCAAATGTTTCACTCATCTCTCAAATGGGAAAAATTTCACTCAACCCACCTAGATTAGCACCTACCATAGCTTGTAGAGATTCTAATGTCTCCACCTTAAAGATACCTTAGACTCATGATCAAGGGGACTTGAAGAATTGTAATGTTGGAAAGCAAGGCCAAATGAATGAAATGAACTAACAAGTGAAATGCATGAGTAGTAAGGTATCAACTCAAAGTGAGCTAAAGTACAATCATGAAAGAACACCAAAGTGCAGATTTTAAACTTTTGAAACAAAAATCCTTACTCTTCAAACTATCATTGAATGCCTTATTTCAAATTTTATTCTTTTGTTGCAACTCATTTTCTTTTTCTATGACTTTCTTTCATTAGCTTTTTCTATACATTTTCTTCTCTTTATTGCCTTTTTCCATTTCTTCTCTTTTTTTTGTATTCTTTTTTTTTTTTTTTTTTTTTTTGGCATCCAAACCTAAAAAGCCAAATATATAAACATTAATGATGTACTTTTCAAAATGAAAAACCAAATGTAACTCATGCAAAAACACTTACTAAAAAGCAATGAGTGAAATGAAAGTGAAGGCTCAAATGGGTAAACAAAAGTTAAATGAAGTAGCTTATGGTTGGGTAAAGGGTTTAGAAATGAATGCCCCTATCATCCTCACAAATCTAGGTATTAATGTAGCTTTGAAAAAGAATCTAGACAAGTTCTAGAGGTTAACCAAAACTAGGTGAAAGTCACACAAGATGAGAAAGAATACACAGCTCAACAATTCTTCCATCGAGGTTTACTCCAAGATGTTTCCTCCTTAAGAATCAAGCTATGAAACAAGGTTAATAACATTGCACCATAGCCATTCTACTATGCTAACTAACTAAGAACAGAAATCACTCAAATAAAATGTAATCAAACTCAGTCGTGCAACATTCACAAGCATTATGCAAAAGGATTTTAAAAGAGATGCCCAAGGATTACAAAAGTCAAGAGTCAGCAATAGAGAAAACAGCAAATTGCCCATACAACAGTGAAGAACACTAAGGCAAGTGAAAACAGGAGGACACAAAAACCAGCAACAAAATTCACAAGCAAGAATCACCCTTAAATCATGTGATGCAATTCAGAAATCAACCAATAAGACAAATAAGAGAGCAATTATAGCAATAATACTTAGGAAATAGCAGCAAATCTAAAGGCAAAGTTTTTTTAATTTTTTTATTTTTGAATTTCAGCTCAACTCAACAATCCCTCCCCTATACTTGATCAATACATTGTCCTCAATGTAAGAAAAATAACATTATCTTAACCTAAACTCTCAGGTGAAGTGGGAGTTGTGAAGTCCGATTTGAAATCAAAGCATAACACATCACTATCACAAAAAGGAGAGAAGGGAGAGATAGGATAAGATAATATGAAATGAAAATGGACAAGTATAAATCAAGTGATCAAAAGAGATGGCAAAATCAAGAGCAAACAAAACAAACAACTACTAAACAAAAATAAATAGCTACAACTACAACTACTAGAAAAGTTCCCTCCCCCACACTTACTCCTAACTATCTCAGCAAACAGATATCAACAGCAATACAACAGAAAGTAAAGGAGTAGGGTGGAAGGGAACAACTGTGTGATCAAGGGGGTCTTTGCTCCTCGTGGTAGTGCTTTAGAAGATGGTCGTTGACTTGTGAAGCTATACCGGTCTCCTCATCTACAAGCTCTACCGTGCCAAAAGGGTATACTTTAGTAACTCTAAATGAACCTTCCCACTTGGTGACAAACTTCCTTGGCATAAGCTTCAACCGGGCCTTAAACTTTAGAACCTTGTCATCTTCATGAAACTGCTTCCTCAGAATCTATTTGTCATTAATCATTTTCAGCTTGCCTTTATAGATTCTAGCATTGTCATAGGACTCAAGTCTCATTTCTTCAAGTTCTTGGAGTTGCATCTTCTGATTGACAAGTGAAGATTTGAGATCTACATCACATGCCTTGATTGCCCAATAAGATTTGTGCTCGATCTCCATAGGTTGATGGCAAGCCTTGCCATAGAGTAACTGAAAGAGAGACATGCCTATAGGGGTCTTGTAGGCCGTCTTGTAAACCCAAAGAGCTTCCTCAAGCCTTTCACTCCAATCCTTACGGAATGGTTTCATGATCTTTTCAAGTATTTGCCTCATTTTCCGGTTAGAGACTATAGCTAACCCATTTGTTTGAGCGTGATAAGGGGTGGCAAGCTTGTGATTGAGTCAATGTTTAACTAATAGAGATTTAATGATCCTGTTGCAGAAGTGTGTTCCTTGATCACTTATGATTGCTCTTGGAATACCATACCTGTAAAAGATATGAGAGGGTAAAAACTTGGCAATCGTAGAAGCATCATCTTTTCTAGTTGGCACTGTCTCTGCCTATCAAGACACATAATCTATTGCAAGTAATATGTGTGAAAACCTAAAAGATGGAGGGAAGGCACCCATAAAGTCCATGCCCCACACATCAAAGATTTCACAAAAATGCATAGGTCTTAGAAGCATCTCATGCTTCCTACCCAAATTCCTAAACCTCTAACATTTATCACATGACTTATAGAAAGAATAAGCATCCTTAAATAGTGAAGGCTAGTAAAAACCACACTCTAAAACCCTCCTAGCAGTTCTATTAGCACTAAAATGCCCCTTGCAAGATAAAGAATGTGCAAAGGTAAGGATAGAGTGGATCTCATTGTTTGGAACACAGCATCTGATGATCTAGTCATTGTATTGCTTCCATAGGATTAGAGCATCCTAGATATAGTACCTTGTCTCCCTCTTCAGCTTATCAATTTGAAATTTAGACATAGAAAGAGGCATAAGGTCAGTGACAAGATACTTAACTATATTAGAGTACCAAGGCTCTTGAACAACTAAGGTAAAAAGTGCAGAATCAAGAAATGAGTCAATAACAAGATCAGAAGAATCAACTCCCTGTGTGCCTTTAAGTAACCAACAAAGGTGGTTAGCTACATGATTCTCTGCTCTGGCTTTATCTCTGATCTCGATATTAAACTCCTGTAATAGCAAAACCCATCTTAGCAATCTAGGTTTAGACTGAGGCTTCTTAAATAGGTACCGAACCGCTACATGATCTGTAAAAACAACCACGGAGAGTTTATCAAATATTGTCTAAACTTATCCAAAGCAAAAATAATAGCAAATAGTTCCTTCTTTGTAGAGGTGTAATTGACTTGAGCGGAATCAAGTGTGTTGGAGGCATATGCTATGACTCTAGATTGTTTCTCCTCCCTCTGTCTAAGCATGGCACCTACTACAAAGTTAATTCTAGTTAGGTGTAGTGACAATAAGAGGTGAAACAAGCATAGATTTCAAAGTGTCAAAAGCATGTCTACACTTGTCATCAAATTTAAATTCAATATCCTTTTTTAACAAGGTAGAAAGAGGCAAGACAACTTTACTAAAGTCCTTAATAAATCGCCGATCCTATATGCCCTAAGAAAGACCTCAAGTCTTTTAAACAAGTGGTATAAGGGAGGGATGAAATAACTTCAATTTTGGCTTTATCAACCTCGATCCCCTTTTGCGAGATGAGATGACCTAAGACTATCCCTCTATCAACCATGAAATGACACTTTTCAAAGTTTAAAACTAATTTCTTATCAATACACCTCTCAAGAGCCTGCTTTAGGCTATTCAAACACTCATCAAAACTCTCACCATAAACAGTGAAGTCATCCATAAAAACTTCCATGTTCTGCTCTAGAAGATCACTAAATATCACCATCATGCACCTTTGAAAAGTGCCTGGAGCGTTACACAACCCAAATGGCATCCTTCAATAAGCAAAGGTACCAAAAGGGCATGTAAAAGTAGTCCTGTCCTGATCTTCAGGAGCAATAGGCACTTGAAAATAGCTAGAAAAATTGTCTAGAAAACAATAGTGAGACTTTCCTAAAATTCTCTCCAACATCTAATCTATAAAAAGTAATGGAAAGTGGTCTTTTCTCATGGCATCATTCAACTTCCTATAATTTATACACCACAAGCATTTTGAACCCCAGTTGGAATCAGCTCATCATTCCTATTTCTCACTACTGTGATACCACTCTTCTTTGGTACTACTTATACTGGACTTACCCACTCACTATCTGATATGGGATAGATGATCCTTGCACTTAACCACTTAGAGACTTCCTTCTTAACCACATCCAGAATAAAAGGATTCAATCTCCTCTGTGGTTGTCTAATTGGCTTGGACCCTTCATTCAAAAGGATCCTGTGTGTGCAAACTGAGGGATTAATCCCTGGTATGTCCCCCAAAGACCATCCTATAGCCTCTTTATGACTCTTCAATACAGAAATCAATCTTTTCTTCAGAACTACTCAAAGAATTGGAAATAATAATAGGCAATTTAGAGTCAACACCAAGACGACATATTTCAAGTTAAGGGGAAGGGGTTTCAATTCTAAATCAGGAGTTTGCATATATAACTGAACGAACTAGTTCTTTTATGTCAAGTACATTCAATGCAAGTGACATGTCTATAGGGCTTGGGGAAGGAGATATAAACTCATCATAATGTGCATGTCCTCCACTTCCCAACTCAGTGCCACTCTTAGATAACCTACAAAAAAAAAGGATCAGTATCAATCTTATCAACAAAAACATTAAGTAAATCACAAGGAAGAGTGGGATTAGAAGTGACTAAGTCAGTAGCGAGCTTGTTGCTAGCCTCTTCTAATGTTCCAGCACCACTCAAAGGAGAAGCTACCAGTGTAGCTTGTATGACAGCTCCTTTATCATTAGTACCTGCAAAATCAATAAACTCACCTTTCTCAAGGCTATCATCAGGTGTAATATTCAAAGTAGGATCATGGTTAAGACAAGATTATACATTAAAATCATCAGAGATGGAAAGGAGGCGATCAACTTCTAAATAGTTAATGTACACCACGTCACCATAACATAAGCAAAAAGAAGAAGAATGAGGGGTAGATAAACAAGTAAATACCTCATCATGCTTAACAATCTCATCATACCAGTCATGTTCATGCATCTCAAATTCATGCAAATCATCAACATCATTAACAACACAATCAATCAAATTAACACCCAAGTAAGAGCTTTCTACATAACCTTGACTCATAGCATCAGAAATGTTGAATGTAATCTGTTGGTCCCCAAAGCCCATAGTAATGACCCTATCTTTCACATTAATTATGGTTTGGGCTATTCTATGGAAAGGTATTCCTAGAATCAAAGTGCTATCGGCTTTAATCTCATCAGTCATGTCTAGCACATAGAAGTCAGCAGGGAACACAAGACCCTGTACTTGCACAAGAACGTCCTCAAGAAAGTCTTTAGGGTGTCTCACAATCCTATCAGCTGGACCTAGCACAATACTGGTGTCTTTTAAGACAATAATACCTAAAATCTCATAAATAGAGGTAGGCATAACATTTATGGCTGCACTTAAGTTTAGTAAGGCATGTGAAATGTTTGTTTTGCCTATAGTGCAAGGCATAGTATAGGAACCCGGGTCTTTACACTTAATAGGTAACTGTGGCTTGAAGATAGCACTGACACTAGACCCTAGTTGGATTCTCTCACTATGCCTATACTTCCTCTTGTTTGTACATAGATCTTTCAAAAACTTAGCACACTTGGGCATTTTCTTAATCAAATCAAGTAATGGTATATTAACCTCATGTTTGCTAAACATTTCAAAAAACTCATCATTATTTTTCTTTTCAACAACATTCTTACTCATTAGATAGGAATGAGGAAAGGGCAAATAAAAAATGTTTACCTAATCACCTTTTGTAGGTGATCCTTTCTCCATTGGCCTTTACTTAGCAGCTTCAGACTCCCTTTTCTCTTGAGCCAATGATTGCTTAAGGATGTCTTGAGTGGTTTTAGAAGGAGGAGACTCAACTTCTATCTCTTCATCAACCGGTTCTTCATCCTTATCATCATCTTTGAATTGCACTTTCTTAGCACCAATTTATTTACCACTTTTTAATGTAATTACAGTCAAAGATTTAGGATTTATCACCATGTTGGAAGGCATTGAACCACTAGCCTTAGCTTGCTATTCACTCATACCATTTGACAACTTAGGGACGTAAGAAGTCAAATTAGAGGTTCCAGTTTCCCATTCCTCCATCCTATTCTCTAGGGCTGCAAATCTAGCTTCAGATTTAGCTTCAGACTTAGATATGTGCTCACTTATTGCCTCAATGCCCTTGAGTATTCGAGAGAACCGTTCATCATCTTTAGACTACGGTTGCTGGAGGGTAAGCATGGCTCTAGAGGATTCTCCTTGTACCCTCCATAGTAAGATTGAGCTTGGTTAACCATGTTCCCTTGAAACCCTTCTTGAACTTGCCTATTGTCATCTCCTCCCCATCAGAAATTTTGATTAGCTTTCCACCATTCATTATATGTATTTGAGTATGGGTTCTATTGTTTAGATTGATTAGCCCTTCCTTGATACATGACAGAAACTTCCTCATATCTATGAGGGTAAGCAACAAGGATATGCATAATGGAACTACAATGCTCACAACTAGATACAGCCATCTCTGTGGAATTAGGATTCTGAGTGTCAATAGGGGGAGTATGAGACGCAAGATTATTCAACTGTGTAGTCAAAGCAGCAATTTGAGAAGTGAATGTGTCCAATTAAGGAATGTGGACTGAAAAAATATTATAATATGCATCGCATTAACACTTTTAGACTCCTTGATGCTATATTGTTGATGGTTCAAGGCCATTTTCTTAATAAGTTCCCATGCCTCATCAGCAGTTAAATCAATGAGAGAACCCCTAGAAGCAGCATCCAATATCCCCTTGTCCTGGGTCTATCATAAAAGTATTAGACTAACTATTCATCTGGAATCTGATGGTATGGACATCTAGAAAGCAAGTCTTGAAAATGGTTCCAGTAGTCATAAAGTAACTCATCATAGTCTTGCTTTGCATAGTGGATCTCTTTTCTCAATGTGAAAGTCTAAGAAACGGGGAAATATTTCTCCAAGAATGCTTTTTTGAGGTTGTTCCAATTAGGTAGGCATCTGCCATGTGGCTAGGCAAGCTCATATACTATTCTCGCACTTTGCTCTCTAAAGACAAATGGAATACCTTCCAAACAACCTCATCTAGACTAGCCCCAATCGGCTTCATG